ACATTTCACATGTCCAGAACAGAGCCCGTGATCCCTCTTCTTCACAACAAACTTGGTAAGAGAAAATAAAAGAAACAGCCGGGCGCGGTGGCTCAAGCCTGTAATCCCAGCCCTTTGGGAGGCCGAGGCGGGTGGATCATGAGGTCAAGAGATCGAGACCATCCTGGCCAACATGGTGAAACCCCGTCTCTACTAAAAATACAAAAAACTAGCTGGGCATGGTGGTGCGTGCCTGTAGTCCCAGCCACTCAGGAGGCTGAGGCAGGAGAATTGCCTGAACCCAGGAGGCGGAGGTTGCGGTGAGCTGAGATCGTGCCATTGCACTCCAGCCTGGGCAACAAGAGCGAAACTCCGTCTCAAAAAAAAAAAAAAAAAAAAAAAAAAAGAAAAGAAAAGAAAAGAAACAAAATAGCTGCTGTTCCATCTTATGAATGGCTTGCCTGTTCTCAGGAGTTCAGGCCAAAGCCTTAAAGTGGTGATTCTCACCTAGGGGTGATCTTATCTCCCAGGGGACGGTCAACAGTGTTTAGAGACAATTTACAATTTTGCTTGTCACGACTGGGAAGGGTGTTGCTGGCATCTAGTGGGCAGAGATCAAGGCTGCTGCCCAGCATCCTACAATGGATCGGGCGGCCCCCTCCGCATGGAATTATCCACCCCAAAATATCAACCATGCTGCAGTGGAAAATCCCTGCTTTGGAGACACCCCTGGCTCTTCTCTCTCATATCCTACAACTGCTCCACCAGCAATTCCTGCCCACAGTAGCTCCAGAATATACTAAAAATTCAAACAACTTCCCAAACGCGACTGCCCCCACCCTCGATGAGCCTCTTGTTGTCTCATTTGCCTTCCCCGCAGTCATTTGTCAACACAGCAGAAAGAGCCATCCTGCAAAAACGTAAGTCTTCTTTTTTGTAAGAAGATTGTAAGGTTCTTGTGACTTCTCTGCTCAAGAACTTTCCATGGCTCCCATCTCTGAATATAAAGCAAAGTGCTTTCTGGGATGTATAGGAAGCTGTGAGTCCGGGCACAGGGGCTCACACCTATAATCTCAACACATCGGGAGGCTGAGGCAGGAGGATTGCTTGAGGCCAGGAGTTTGAGACCAGCGTGGGCAATACAGTGAGACCCTGTGTCTACAAAAAATAGTGGCATGTGCTTGTAGTTCCAGCTATTTGGGATGCTGAACCCAAGAGGGAGGCTTGGGTTCAGGAGTTCAAGGCTGCAGTGAGCTACGATCTTCCCACTGCACTCCAGCCTGGGTGACAGAGCAAAACCCTAACTAAAACAAACAAACAAATGAACAAAAAACAGAACCGGGCCAAGTACCAGTAATCCCAGCAGTTTGGGAGGCCTAGGCGGGCCAATCACTGATGGTCAGAAATTCGAGACCATCCTGGCCAACACGGTGAAATTCCATCTCTAATAAAAAAAAATTAACAAAAATTAACTGGGCATGGTGGAGCACACCTGTGATTCCAACACCTCGGGAGGCTGAGGTATGAGAATTGCTTCAACCCGGGAGACCGAGGTTGCAGTGAGCTGAGATTATGCCATTGAACTCCAGCCTGGGTGACAAAGCAAGACTCTGCCTCTAAATAAATAAATAAATAAATAAATAAATAAGGCCGGGCACGGTGGCTGAAGCCTGTAATCCCAGCACTTTGGGAGGCCGAGGTGGGTGGATCACGAGGTCAAGAGATCGAGACCATCCTGGTCAACGAGGTGAAACCCCGTCTCTACTAAAAATACAAAAAATTAGCTGGGCATGGTGGCGCGTGCCTGTGATCCCAGCTACTGAGGAGGCTGAGGTAGGAGAATTGCCTGAACCCAGGAGGCGGAGGTTGCGGTGAGCCGAGATCGCTCCATTGCACTCCAGCCTGGGTAACAAGCGAAACTCCGCCTCAAAAAAATAATAATAATAAAATAATTTTTTAAAAGGCCGGGCATGGTGGCTCACACCTGTAATCCCAGCACTTTGGGAGGCTGAGGCGGGCAGATCGCCTGAGCCCAGGAGTTCCAGACCACCCCGGGCAACATAGTAAAACCTCGTCTCTACTAAAATTGAAAAAATTATCTGGGTGTGGTGGCACGTACCTGTAGTCCCAGCTACTCGGGAGGCTGAGGCACGAGAATCGCTTGAGCCCCAAGGCAGAGGTTGCAGTGAGCCAAGATCGTGCCACTGCGCTACAGCTTGGTCTACAGAGTGAGACTCTGTCTCAAATAATGATAATAATAATAACAATAATAATAATAATACAGAACCTATGGGATGGGGATCCTGTTACCCCTACGACTGTTGTACCTCCTGCTGCTGCGTTCCGCTCACCCACTCTGCCCCGGTCACACTGACCTCCCACTGGCTCGGTCAACACACAGGCACTCTCCCTCCCACCTCAGGGACTCTGCACCTGCTATTCCTACAGTCTGAAGCACTTTCCTCCAGATAGCCACAGCCTCCACCTCTCACTTCCTTCAGATGTGCATTCAAATGTCACCTGCTCAGGGGAGCTTTCCCTAGATTCCTTATCTACTTCCAGGGGGAACCCTGACACCTCCCATGCCTCCACTCCTTTTCCTCCTGAGCACTCAGTTCTACCTAACATCCTAAATGTTGACTTGATTTACCTCCATTATTATCTGTCTCTCCCTCTAGAATATAAGATATATAAGGAGAGGGGTTTTTCTCTGTTTTCCACTGCTGCAGCCCCAGAATCCAGAACAACCCTTGGCACATAGTATAAACTCAATACAAATGGGATGTTGAATGAATAAATGAATGAATGATGCCACGCGTTATCCTAGGGGTTTCATGATGTGAGCCCTCACACTTGGCTCTGTGCCTGGTCCTTGGTCAGGCCCGTGAATGGACATGAACTCAAACTTCCACAGAAGAGGAAAATAGCATCACGAGAGCCGCGGGAGGAATGGGAGGCAATGGAGTGGATGGAGGTGACTGTGGGGGAAATGGAGGCCCCCAGCTGCTGCTCAGATCCGGCCTGTCGTGGTCAGGGTAGAACGCAGGCTTGCATTAGATCTTCCGATCGCTCAGAAGAAGCCGGAAATTGGAACTACAATGGGAAGCCTCCCTATTTTTAACTGTTGGCAATGGATTCAGATTTTGCTTTCAGTTTTAAACACTTTGTACACTAGGCAGAGCACATCTGCGGATCCCATCCATGGGATTGGAGCTCTGCTCTTGGCTCTGCCCTTTTCTCAGCTGGGTGACCTTGGACAAGTGGCTTCACCTCTCTGAGCCTCAGTTTACCCATCCTCAACAGGGAAGTGGTCCCCACCTCATAGGGTTAAATAACATTCCTGGCTTGTCATGAGCACTCAGCAAAACAGAGGAAGAAGGGACAGAAGAAACAGAGGGTGGTGAAAAAGAGAAGCAAGAGATTTCAATCTTTTGGTCAAAGGGGGCATCAGGACGGCCGGTTCCACTCCTTCATGTTGCAGGCAAGGGCTGTGAGGCTGGGGTGCAGGGGGAAGATAGCGGTCACACGGTGGTGGGGGGGGGCAGATACGCAGCAGGACTGGTACCCAGGACTCCTGCTTCCCAGCCCTGCAACTCCATGACACTCAGGAAAGAAATACTGATGCTAAGAGTGGGAGAGAGAAGGGGTTGGGGTGCAGGAGAGGGCGAGAGTCTTGGTGAAGAGGACGAGTCAAGAGCCAGGGAGCCGAGCTAGAGGAGAAGCTGCGAGAGGGAGAACTGGACAAACAGGAAAAGAACCAAGGCAGAGATTCCAGGAGGGAGCAGGGTCAGGAGCCAGGAGCCTTAAAGTCACTAGGAGGCATGGAGTCAGGAGAGTATCAGAGCCAAGGCACGAGCAGAAGAAAAGGAAGTGGAGCCCACTAAGGAAAAGGAGGAACAGCCGGGGGTGGTGACTCACGCCTGTAATCCAAGCACTTTGGAGGCCAAGGCGGGCGGATCACCTGAGGTCGGGAGTTCAAGACCAGCCTGACCAACATGGTGAAACTCCGTCTTTAAAAAAAAAAAAAAGGGAAAAGGAGGAAAGGATCAGGGTAGGAGCTTGGAGGGCATCCTGGTGGGAGAGACAGCGGAAGGGCCTGACGGGGAGAGGAAGATCTACAGGAGGAGAATCACAGGCAGGAAGGAGAGCAGGTCATAAGTGACAGTGAAATAAGGCAGGAAGCTATAGGAGAGCAGCAGCCAAAGAGAAGGGGAAAGAGACGGAGCCCTGGAGACTGGGCCATGGATGGGGCGGGAGAAGCAGGGGAATTCAGGGGACTGGGGTGGAATGTCGCGAGAGAGAAGTCGCCATGGGGCACCGGGCAGAGGAAACGCAGGGGCAGGTGGGATGGAGGAGCAGGTCAAGATGAACTGAGGGGAGAGGGAAAAAGAGGCTGCCGGGTGCATCCCAGCACTTTGGAGGCTGAGGCAGGAGGCTCTCTTGAGCCAAGGAGCTGAAGGCCAGCCTGGGCAACCCAGGGAGACCTCATCTCTACACATAATGAAAAAAATTAGCCGGGCACAGTGGCTCACGCCTGTGGTCCCAGCTACTCAGGAGGCAGAGGTGGGAGGATGGCTTGAGCCCAGGGGGTGGAGGCTGCAGTGAGCTGTGACTGTGCCACTGTACCCCAGCCTGGGCGACAGAATGAGACCTTGTCTTGAAAAAAGGGGGCGGGGAGGAGAAAAGGCACGGGGCAGCTGGAGGAAACGAAACAGGAGGAGCCCCAGGTGCTGGAGGGAGGGAAGAAGGGAGGGGTGTGACCGCACGGCAGGAGACAGGGACCGGGGAAAGACAGAGGAAGGGGTTAGCGGAGAGGCAGGGCGACCCGGCAGAGGAATTCCGCAGGGAGGAGTGGGGCGGAAAGGAGAGACGGCGGGGCGCTAACGCGAAGGCGCAGAAGCCCCTCAGAGGAGGAAGGGTGCCCATGGGGGCCCCAGGATCAGGGAGAGGCAGCCCCGGGAGGCTCCGGGTCTCCGGGAGGGGAGCGGCGGGGGCTGCGGGCAGGGCCGCCCGCACCCTACCTTCCAGGCAGCAGATCCTCCAGAGCCCCGAGTGCGTGAGGCCGCCCGGGTCCTTCTTCTCGGAGGCGCCCCCGCCCCCGCGGTGGGGGGTCCCGTCGTCGCCGCCGGCCGTGAGGTTGGTGGTGTTGCAGATGAGCGCGCGCGTGTAGAGCCAGTAGTCGGTGCTGATGGCGATGGTCATGAGGCCGAAGGCGGCGAAGGCGCCCACCGTCGTCAGCAGCACCTGCACCCCCTTCTCGCACCAGAGGCCCCGCTCTTCGTTCCAGCGCTTCAGCGACTCCAGTTTGACCACGGGCAGCCGGGGGGCCGTGGGCCACCACCGGGGCAGCGGGGGCGGGGCCGTGCCGGCGGCTGGGGGGGGTCACAGCGCAGGCAGAAGCGGGGGGCCGGGGGCCGGCGGGGCGGGGGAGGGGGCGGCGAGGAGGCTGCGGCTGGGGAGGGGGTCAGAGCACGGCCATGGTCGGCGGCTGGTGGAGGGCAAGGAGCGAGATGTCGAATTAGAGGAGAAGAAGGCACAGGTACCTCCCCCAGTCCCCGCCCCCCCTAAAATCCCTGCCTCAGCTCCAGAAACTCCTTCCACTCGGGTCTCCACTGCTTTCCTTTCTCGAATTAAAAAAAAAAAAAAAAAAAAAAAAAAAAAAAAAAACCTCTCCACTTTCGTCTTCTGCCCAACAAAGTCATCCATCCCATTAACCCCACTCGGAGATGTCCCCACCACCTCTCACACCCACAGCCCTCGCCCCCAGCCCCCGCTGGCTCCTCCTGGGTGAGCTCCACGGTCCTGATCGCTTTGGGAAGCCACCCCACGACGCCAAGCCCCAGGCCTCCTCCTCCCCAGGAGCCCCTGTCACGTTCTTCCTTCCTTAGAGACCCCCACCCCATCACCATTCGGCCCCCACCGGTTCTCCCCACTCTTCCCCTGCAAGGCCCACCTCTCCACCTGCCAGAACCCCTTCCTGTCTCCCCGACTTCTTCCCCCTGAGCGTCTCCACAACTCGAGAAGCCCCAGCAGCACCACCTCCATGAGAATAACGTCCGCTCTGGGTTCTGTCATTCAGTCACTCCTAATGGTCCCCTGCAATTTCCTCTGCTTAGGAAAAAGAAAGTCTTTGACTAAAAAGGAAAACTTAAAAGCAGAAGGAGAGGAAAAAAAAAAAAAGAAAATCCCAGTTGCCTGTCCCTCACAGTTGGTGCAACTCAGAGTGAGCAGACACCCTCAGTCAGTCTCCACTGCCTGGAAGCCCCTTCCCGCCTCGGCAGCCTCTGGCACACCTTGAAATCGCCCGAGAACCTTTACAGACTCGGATGTTCGCGCCCCACCTGAGAAAGTCCGACATCACTGGGCTGCAGTGTGGCCTGAGCGTCTAAGTTTTTAAACGCTCCCGGGGGAATTCTCATGCACCCAACGCCGGACCCACTGGTTTGCAAGATGCCCCCTATCTCCAACCCACTCCCTCTCACAACCCTCAGTGTCTCCCCACATCCATTCACCCCCCCCCATCCCATACTATGTCTTTACTCCAGGAAAAACTCCACTCTCTCTCTCTTGCTTAGAAGAGTCTTCCGAATCTTCCCCCCACTACAACTTAAACGAACTCATATCATAACCATCGTTCTCTCCTCCATTAAGAAAAATTTCCTCCATGAGTCCCACGGCATTTTCTACTTGAAGGAATGGCTTCCTCCAGACCCCAGATTTCTCTCCATTCAGGAGCGTTCCGATCTCTGCCCTGGACTCCCACAGCAGGGAGCACACAGTACGTCCACTCTGCCCAGCTGGCACCCACGGGCCCCTCTGCCCTCACAGCATCTCCCACTGCCTCTAAATCCCTCCTCGTCACCCTTCATCATTACATGACCTCTTCAGCACACAGGCTCCCCCAACTCCAGACCCCTCCGACTCACTTCGAAACCCACTCTCTCCTCAACGTACGAGGAGGCATCCTCCCCAACTTCTCTCCCATCATGTGCAATTCCCTTGACTCACTTCCTCCTGCTCCACCGCTACAGCTCCCAGCCTCTCCTCTGCCCAGGAAAACCTCCTCTGCAGGGCCCCCCTGGCTTCCCTCCTTGGGAACGCCCCCCAGTACTCCCCTCTGCGATGTCACCTATACAGGAACACACACGGTGGCCCCTCGCCTTCCTCCGCATGCAGAAAGAGCCCCCCAAGAGACTGCGTCCCTCTGAAAACTGTGATCCACAGGACTACAACTCTCTTTTAAATGAGGAATACTTTCCCACTCTGCACCCGCTGCCCCATGGTTCTTTCATTTCTCTCCTCCACATTCTCCCCGACCACCACGCCCCAGCCCTGTCCATCCCCCTCACCCCAGCTGGCCTCGGGGTGTGTATTCCTTACTTGTTTCCACCACTGCTTCCTCAACTTCTTCCCCCAAACCCACTATAGTTAAGAGCCTGGAAACCTCGGAGAAAGGGGGAATTAAAAAAAGAAAAAGCAAAAAAAAAAAAAAAAAAAAAAAAAGCAGCAGCAGCTAGGTCCCAGTACGGGGTGACCTTGGCCTCCTGGTGGCTTCCCCGTCTCCACTGCCCCTCAGCAGCTGGCCTCAGACTGGGGCTGCTCCCAGGAGGGGCTGTGGAAAGAGGTTGTCTATGGGGGGTGTCTCCATGGCAACTGGGCCTAGTGCCCCACACGTTGTGTTCCCTCCCCCACCTCAACTCTCGTCTGCCCACACACAGCCCTTCCTCAGGCCACAGTTCAGCAGCCCGCTGGACCCGGCATCCCCCAGCCTCCCAGCCTCGGCGCGGGCCGGTCCTCGCCTCCCTGTCCACAGGCTGAATCTCCTCTTCTTGACCTCTTGGCCTGTTCTCCCGAATTGGTGCCCCTCACCACCAGCACAGCCACCTGCCCTGTCCTAATAGATCTCTGCGGTTCAGTGGGGCTAAGCCTGTGACCCAGGCCCCTAACAACCTGGGATAAGAGGGGAAGGGAAGACGAGGGAAAGGAGGGAAATTCTCCCTCCGTCCAAAAAAAAAAAAAAAAAGCTTTGAAGAGCTTTCCATTTTGTCAATTTGGGGGGCAATCTGGTTTTAGGGACTCTTCCTTTAGTCCATTGCTCAGCAGCTGCAAGGGAGAAGAGAACAGGGGACCCCCAATTCTAAAGCTTCCGGATCTGAGGGGGTCACTGTCCTTTCTCCTTCTGAAGGGGACCAGCTCTTGTCTCCAGAATTGGGGGGGCACAGAACATTAATTCTACTTCCACCCACCTCCGATTAATAAAAAGATCTGTCTCACCTCTGTTAACGATAGGTCAACTCTCCGATGCTGGGGGGAGGGGACTTCAAGCTCCCCCCGTTGGCACCCCCCCCAGAAAAGCCCTTTTAGCTCCCAATTCTCGCTGCTTCCCCCTCCCCCAGCAGTGAGGGACCCAGGCGTCCGACCTGGTTGGGGGGGGTGGAGATGAGGAGGCGTATGGGGAATGGGGGTGCTGAGGCCAGGCGGGGGCTGAGGGGCAGCTCTGAGCCTGGGCCCCAAGGGAGTGAGGGTCGGGATATATATATATATATATATTTAAAAAAAAGGTGAGGAGACAATTTGGTTCTCGTGTCGCTGGGTAAAGTGCGGAGCTGGAGGACGAGAGGGAGGGAGTAGGGAGGGAGGGGGAGGGGAGCTGCTGAGGGATGGGGGAGCCTGGGAGAGGAGATGGATGGGGGAAGGGAAAGAGGGGGGCAGGGTCGAGTGGCAAAAGGAAGCCAGAGAAGAAGAGAGAGACAGAGATCCAGAGAGGGAGGGAGAGAGACAGAGAGAGACGAGGAGAAACGGAAAGAGAGAGACCCAGAGACCGCGAAACAGAAATGGGGGAGGGAGAAATTTGGGGGAGGTAGCGGCTGGGAGCAGAAGGAAGTTGGAGAGACACACACAGAGAAATATCCAGAGAGAGAAGGGGACAGGGACTGAGACCCAAAGAGAGAAACCCAGGGGCTGGGGGGAGGGGGGGAGGGAGGGCTGGGGTAAGGGGGGGGGGTCAGGATCTGGGAAACAGAAGGAAAGAAGGGAGAGGGAGAGAGTCATCCAGAGAGGGGGGAGGAGGGACAGATGGGGAGAGACAGACAGAGAGAGAGAGACTGCGAGGATGGCGAGGGGAGAGGGAAGGGAATGGAGAGCCGGGAGGGAGAGAAAGTGGGGACGGGGGCAAGGTCTTGGTAGAGAGAAGGAAGCTTTAAAGAGAGAAAGAGGTACCGAGAGGGAGCGGGGGAGCAGGATAGTAAATGAAAGAAATGGAGGGTGGAAGGGTCTGGGTGGCAGAAGGCACCTGGGGAAAGAAAGGCAGGTGCAGGAAAAGAAGAGGGACACCCAGAGAGAGACAGACGGAGAGGGACTGACACAGGAAGAGAGACCGACCCAGAGAAACAGAGGCAGACACGGAGACTGGGGAGGCGCCCGAAGGAAGCCCGGAAAAAATAGCGGGAGAGGGGTCAGGCCGAGGTGCCCCGCGGAGGTCAGAGATGGGGGACCCCCGCCCCCGCCCCCGCCCGCGTCCCCAGCCCCGTCCCTTCCCCCTCCCCCATTCCAATGCCACCACCCCCACCCCCACTAGCCTCCATCTCTCTTCAGCATCGCTTGCCGCCGCCACCGCCTCTTCCTGTCGTCATAGCAACAGGATCCAGGCGCCCAGCCAAGGCTGGCAGCGGCGGCCGGAAATGAGGGGAGGGCCTTTTCAAAAGGACCCCAGGAATGCTCCCCTTTCCCAAAATCCAAGGGAAAGCGCAACTCCCTGGGGTCTTCCCACGGCTCCTCCTCCAAATGGCAAGGGCAAAGATTCCTCACCACCACCCCCCCCCCCGCAAATAAAACAATATTAAACTTACAACGTTAGCAAGCCTTTGACTTTCACCAACATTTTTTTCTTTTCTCATCTCCCTTCCCTCCCCTAGTTCAAACCTGTTGGGGAAGAAGGGGTAGAGTTAGATGCCCTCCCCCGGCAGATGGGGCTGGGGGCCCGGAAAGAGAGCAGAATGTGAAAAGCCTGGGTGCAAATATGTCTTAAAGAAACCCGTCTGGAATTGGGTAGGGTCTACGCAACAGTTTTGAGAAGCAGGGACCTGTCCTTCTGTAACTCGCTAGTAGGTTGTGGGGGTGGAAGAGTCTGAGATGAGGATCTGGAAGTTTGGTCTTGGGTCCGCATTTCACATCGTGTGACCTTGGACACAGCACTTCTCTCAACTCAGTTGCTCTTCGTTATGAAGGCGACGGAAGCCGCCTCCAACTGAGTGAGAACAGGGATGGGAAGGGGCCTTGCACGTGGCTCCAAGCAAGCAGTTTTCCCAAGACCGGATTCTGATAGGAATGTTATCAAAAGCTAAGAACTAGCCATGGCTGGTGGGAGGCAGTTTGCGGGCTTCACTTTGACTCTCTCACGGACTTCCTACAGAATCTTTGCAGTGTGGGCATCCATGTTCCCAAGTTACTGATGAGTAACCTGAGGCTCTGAGACATTAGGGGTTATCGAGCTGGAGGGCGGCCAAGAATAGGTGACACTCATAGTCATTTAAGCCAGCACACCTTTACTCTCCCTCCAGGGGGCTGGCACAAACAGCAATCACCTGTGTTCCCTACATCTATTTACCTGGTGTTGGCTCCTGCTGGTCTCTTCTTTGGGAGGGGCGGTATGGCATCTCACATTTCTACGGAAATTTCTTAGGTCATTTCACTTAATTCTCACCCTGCCCCATGGGGGAAAGTTTAGAGATGCATTCCAACACTCCTGGTTTAGAAGCAAAGAAACACAGCCCCCAAGGGAAGGGGCCTGGAATTCATTCGTTTCAGGAATAGTTGTTTATTTTCTGCTCTTTTGCTGGGTTGGTGGGGTGGGGCAGGGGGAAGAATACATCAGTCAACAGCTATGAGAACCGATATAACCTGGACATTTAATATTACAGACTCCAAGGAGCCTGAGGGTATTGGCTCCACCTACAGAAGAAGTGGGTTCTGTTAGCAGCCCCCATTTTAAAGATGTGAAGACTGAGACTGAGAGGTAAGTTGTTTTGGAGGCAATCGGTCAGGAC